TTTAATCTTATGCGCCAAGAGATTATAGCCTTCGGTGTGGATTACATTTCAACATGAAGAAATAATAAAAAAAAAATCTTCATACCTAGACCATTAAGCAACATCCTGATAAACAAAGGAAAGACTGGCATTGTCAAAGCTGTAAGTTTACTTGGTTCCATTGTCAACACCTATGGAAGGAGCAGTTAAGTAATCCATCCACATGTTGCACTGGAAAAATGTGCTGGAAGGATCTCTTTAAAACGCTGAAGAGCAAGGCTACTCCTTTGACCAAGATGTGCCTGACTTAAGCCAGGGTATTTGCCTTTTTTTATGTTTTTACCTAGCTAGTAATAGACAAACCAAGTAGAATCAGGTCCACTGCATCTTCAGATTTTTCTTTGACAAACCATAAGTAGTTTCCTATAAAAACTGTATACATTTTGTGGATCATGAAAATCTTAAAAGAAATGTGAATGAAAGTTTACAAAAGCATACTGATTTTTCATTTAATTATTCATATATATTGTTTTACAGTATTCATTTCAGATGATTGTTGTTGTTGTGTGAATTGGAACTGACCCCTAGATGACTCTCTAGTAGATTTTTAGAGGCAGTGACTTGCAGGGAGACGATTGCCCATCTTTCTCCCACGGAGCAGCTGGTGGATTCCAGCCCCATGCTTTTGCATTGGTAGCACAAATCCTTACTACCTCCCTCAATTGATTGGTGTAATTAATGACAATATTTGATTGACTCCTTATTGTATAGTACCTTTTTCTTCACCCAATTTATGAATTTTTACTCTCCTTTCCCTCTTTTCTCCTCCCTGGTAACCAAAAAATCATGGTATTTCCAGTCACCTCATATGCCTGTGAAAATTGCAAATAGAAAATAGCAAAAGGAATAAATGAGACTGAGGAAGAATTGATACCTTTGAATTTCAAAGAGTATTGAGTCTACTATAGATTACCAAAACAACAAACAAATCTACTTAGGTTAAGTGCAGCCGATCCGGATGCTCCTTAGAAATAAGGAGTCAGTCCTCTTCTCACATACTTTGACTTGTACTCAAGAGGAGATAATTCCTGGAGAAAGACATCATATTTGGTGAAGTGGAGGATCGATGAAGAAGACTGTTAGCGAAATGAATGGACACTGTGAGTGTGGCTGCAGGAGTGAATTTACAGCAGAGACTGCGATGTTGCTTCAGGATCAGGTAATATTTTGTTCTCTTGTACACAGGGTCACTGTGAATCTGGAGCCAACTAGATTAGGTTAGTGGAACCTAACAAAACAGGGAAGTGGAGGGAGGAAAAAAAAAAAGGAAAATGCCCTGCTGGCACAGTAGTTATAGTATTAAGCTGCTAACTGAAAGTTGATTAGAACTGACCAGCCGCTCTGGAGGACAAAGATTTAACTCTGCTTCTTTGAAGATTTACCACCTTAGAAATCCTCTAAGTCCACAGGGCAGTTCCACTCTGTCCTGCATGGTTGCTAGAAGTCTGGAATTGACTTGATGACAATGGATTTGATGTGTTTTGTGGTGTTGTTTTTTTATTTAAGGTTGTATGTGCTGGAAAGAATCTCTGGTGGTACGAGGGTTATGTATTTAGCTGCCAAAGGAAAAGACAATTGGTTTGAACCCATCACCACTCCAGAAAGGTGTGGCAATCTTCACCTGCAAAGGTTTGTCGTGTTAGAAATGCTGTGGACAGTTCTACTGAATTCAGCTCAACTGCAATGGGCTTGGCTGGGTTTGTGTGCCACATATTGTCGTGCTAAATACTTTTTCAATGATTATCTCACTTAATCTTCACAAAAACTCTGTAATAACTATTACTATTTCTATTTTACAGAAAAAGAAAGGGGACCAGAAAATGAAATAATTTTCCCACTGTCACACAGCGAAGAAGTGATGAAGCCAGAATTTGAACGTTTGAACGTGGGTTTGCTAATTTTAGAGTCATGCTCTTCAAAACTGTACTGTATTTCCCCTAATATTGCTAGTTTTATGTAAAAATGGGGTTCACTACCAAAACAGATGAATCTAATTGAATTTTAATGTTTTAAAGTTGAATGTTTCTTCTTTTATAAAACTATGACTTTATTTGAACTGGCAAATCGATGAGGTGCTGGATACCATTAGGAAAGGAGGAAAATTTTATTTTATTTTTATTGTATTATTTTTACGTGTACCGTCAAATCAGATCTGACTGGTAAAGGAGGAGATTGCCCCATCCTTCTCTAGCAGAGCATCTGGTGGATTTGAACCGCATACCTCTGGGATTGCAGTGCAGTGTCTTGCATCTGGTGGATTTGAACCGCATACCTCTGGGATTGCAGTGCAGTGTCTTGCCACTAGGCCACCAGAGCTCGGAAAATTTGTTCTTTGAGTAAAGGGCAAAATAGGAGGGATAGAGAGCCTGGATTTTCTAAAACTACGTGGTTCAATGAAAAAATTCACTAGTACAAATTTATGGAATTTCGTGGGTTTTTTTATGTATCAATAAAAAAAATTGTTAGCCACAAAACTAAAGGTAATTTTGCTATGACACCTTTATTGAATTTTGTTTCTCTAGATTGAAACTTAACATCAAGAAGACAAAGATTCTCACCACTGGGCCAATTGGCAGCACCATGATGGATGGAGAAGAGATTCAGGTTGTTAACAATTACAGCTTGCTCCCCTCCACAATCAACACTCTTAACTCTGAGCAGTCAGAAAATAAGAAAACGAACTGCATTTTGAAAATCTGCTGTCAGGGACCTCTCCAGAGTATGGAGAAGCAGCGATGTTTGTCTAGAAACCCAGGTGCACCAGATCAAGGCCATGGTCTTTGCAGTTACTTGCTATGCATCAGAAAGCTGATCAATGACTAATGATGACAAAGTTTCTCCTTGGAGGCTACGGTTTTGAAGCCTGTCTCACATACTTTGGACACATGGCCAGGAAGGACCTGTCTTTGGAGAAGGACATGATGCTCGGAAGAGTGGAGGGACAGCTCAGGAGAGGAAGACCCTGCATGAGGTGGATTGACAAAGTAACTGGGGCTAGGTGTCTTAAAGTCAGTGAGATTGGCTCAGGATAGGTAGGGTTCAGAGCTGTTGTACATAGGGTTACTATGAGTCACATGTGACTTGATGGCACATAATAACAGCAATATCCAATATTGGTCAACACAATATCACTGACAAAAAAGAAGACATAGTGAGGTACAGAAGGATTAGTGGAAGTCAAAATTATAGACAGGAAGTGGGAAGAATGTAATTATACTGTGGCTATTAAAATGAATGTTACTGGGAGGTTGGAAATGATATTTGTTTATTATTTTGTTAAAAAAGAATAAATGGCCACTACTTGTCAGACAAGAAGGCCTGGTAGTGCAGTGGTTAAGTACTTGACTGCTGACTCAAAGGTCATTGATTTGACTCCACGGGTTGTTCCAAGGAGGGAAATGTGGCAGTTTGCATCTGTAAAGATTTCCCTTTACCTTAGAGGTACTTTGCATTAGTCTCACAATCTCCACCATGCTCAATGCCCATTATTGCAGTCATTTTTCTAATTGATTTTGTTGAGGATCTTCTCTTTCTCTGACCTTCTACTTTTCCAGTCATGTCTATTTCCAAGGACTGACAACATGTCTGAAGTATGTGAGATGAAATTTCCTCTAAGGAGCCTGCCTTGCCTCTGAGGAGTGCCCTTGTGGCACTTTTTGCAACACAAATTAGTTTGTCCTTTTGGCAGTCCATAATATATTCCATACTCTTCACCATCACAATTAAAAACTATCAATTGTTCTTTGGTTTTCTTTTGTTTCAGCTTTACAGTATATGAAGCAACAGTAAGTATCACAGCTTGAGTCAGGTACATTGTACTCTTTAAACTGACATCCTCGCTTTTTAGTTCTGGAGAGAAGTTCTTGACAACAGATTTTTCCAATGCAGCATGCTTTTGATTTCTTGTCTTTTGACTGCTGAAAACATGTGTGTTGGTTATAGATCCAAGTAGAGTGAAATCTTTGGCAACTTCAATATTTTCTTCATTTATCATCATGTCCAGTGGTGAGAGTTTTTGTTACATTGAGGGGTAAGCTACACTGAAAATTGTGGTCTTCTGTTCCCTCATAGCAACAAGGTTGTGACATCTACATACCACGAATTGTTATGAACCTTCTCCCAACTTGTCGATGAGTTCTTCTACATGTATTTCAGCTTACAGACTGAAAAATATTGTGAAAAGATACAATAATGATACACACCTTTCCTGGTTTAAAACCATGGAGCCCTTGTTCTGTTCAAACAGCTCCCTCTTGGTATGCATAGGTTCTGCATGGATACTCTTAAGAATTCTGGAATTTTTAACTCTTATCAATGTTATCCACAATTTGTTGAGATCCAAATAGTCAAATACCTTTGCAGTCAATAAAGCAGAGATAATTTTTCTGGCAGTTTCTGCCTTTAGTGACAATCTGTTTGACATCTGCAATAATATCTTTAACTCCATATCATATTCTGAGCCTGGCTTCAATTTCTGGAAGTTGATGTACTGCTCCAATCAGCTTTGAATGTTTTTCAAAAATATACTTCTATGTGATAATTATATTCTTTAATAATTTCAACACTATTGAATCACTTTTCTTTGGATACTTCACACAGATATAGATCTCTTCCAGGAAGTTGTCCAGGTGTCTCTCTTCCAAATTTCTTGGGATAGACAAGGCAACCCTTACCTTGAGATTTAGAATTTAATCTAAATGTGGGTGCGAGCTGAAGGGGAAATTAAAATGAGAAACTACATTTCCCAGAAGACATTGGGGCCTAATCGTCCTTTCCTTTCCGCCATGTCTGGGCACCACCAATGGGAGTTAGCTATTTGAATAAACCAATAATATCATGAAGTTGTGCTGGTTGAGGCGGGGCGGCAAGTCATCCAATAGTTTGGAAGAGAGGGAAGCATTTTAGCCAATCCAGTCGCACGGGGGCGGGGCCCGAGATGGGGCGGAGAAAGATTTGCTGACTAAGATGGCGATGGAGGCGCAGAGTGAAGGGGAGGTGCCAGCCTGCGAGCCGGGCCGGAGGTGAGCCGAGTATTTAGTCTAGTTGCCTGGGAGACAAGCCTGTGGGCTGGTTGGACTGCCGCCCGGTCTCTTGGTCACCGTGACCCATCGCGGCCAGGCTTGGTTGTTCCTAAGCCCGCTCTACGGCTTGAACCGTCGCGCTTACGGGAGCCCGCAGCGCGGTGGTCGGTTCTGCCTCGCCCCGGTCTGACCCAGGTCGGAGGAGACCCGCCCGCGGTGGTGGCTGCCCGCCTGTCTGAGCCCACTTGCTCCCCTCTTTTGCGCCCAGATGTGTCTTGATGGTGTGGAAACTGAAGCTACGAGCTGTTCAGCGAATTGTCAGTGTCACACCGCACACTGAGTGGGAATGCTCAGTGTCCTTTAATCTCTGGATGCTCTTAAATCCATGCCAGGATTTGAGTGTCAAATTGAGAATGGGCTTGGGGCTTCCTCATCACGTGGGAACTTTGTTCTCTTCTGCAGCAGCTTCAGTTTCTTCCTCTGTACAGTGGATGTGATGCCTATCCCTGAAAATGTCGGGATTAAATGAGATTATCTGCACCTTGCTTCTGGCATCCGTAAACCCGATGTTGTAGAGTCGATTCTGACACAGCGAGACCCTAAAGGACAGAGTAGAACATCATAGGACGTCAAAAGCTGTAATTTTTACGGAAGCCGACTACCTCCCCCTTTTTCAATTACCATTGCACCTAGAACAGAGCCTTATATACAGTGACCAGTTAAAGAACATATCAGAGAGGTCTGTAATACGGAAAATGATATTGTGGGTACACAGCGTTTTCTTTTACTAGAAATACTTTTTAGATCGTTTTGTCTACCTTGCTATTGTACTTGTCCAGACAGACACTTTTTTCTGTTTGTTTTTAATTCATCAGTGAATCTTGGTCCCATTTGTAATGAATAAATGACACGAGTTTGAGGATTCTTGGTTTTGGGGCAGCACTGGGCTCCTTCCTGAGCAGGTGTAAGTTGTTGGATGTTATTTCATGTTTCATTTAAAAATTTCCGCACTTGGAGCTCTGGCCTTACATGGCTGGCGGCTTTTAGTAGGAAACTATTGAGTTTGATTGATAAATTAGATCATCCTCCTTTTCTCTGAAGTTCCGTATGAAGACAAGTGACATACTGTTCAGTAGCAGTATTTTGAATTGCTTTTAAGGAAGTTGAGTTCAACTTCCATGTGAATTCAAATTTTGAGTGAGACCATCAGTTACACGAACAAACGCTTCCGATGGTTGCAAGCTATCTTCATTTCCAGAGGTATGAAAAAGTTCGATTTTGCCACTGTTCCTGTTGCTTTTACGGAGGAATGGGTATTCTGAGGTTCTTCCCCTGCTATTTTGTTTTTTTCTTAATTTTTTTCTTTTTAAATTTTTATTATTATTGTGTGTGTGTGTGTCTGTGTATCGTCGGATCTGATCTGACTGGTACCGGAGGAGATTGTCCCTCCTTTCCCTGCAGAGCATCTGGTGGATTCGAACCTTGCGGCTCTGGGATTGCAGTGCAGCTTCTTGCCACTAGGCCACCAGAGCTTCCCTCCGCTGCTATTTTGGAAGTCAGAACTTTTGTGTTCTTTATGTTAATCTGCTTCTGCCAGGACCAGCTGTTCTTGCTTACACATTCATGGACTTTTCTTGCTGTTGGTTTTCCTCACATTATTGATGATTGTTTGTTTACATCATGAAGATTTTTGCCTAGATCCTCGATTGGGGTTTCTGCGTTCGCTGTGTGTGGAGCTCTGATGGGACAGGTAGCTGGGCAGGATTTTCTACTTCTAGGAATCTTAACCTTGATAGGACTGACTAGAGGCTCTGAAAAGTTCAAGTAGGAAATCTTCATTTCAGAGGGAGCAGGCAGGCAAGTCTGATGGACTTCCAACAATTGAAAGAAAGGAAAAATTTATTCTGTAAAATTCTGTAAAAATTTAATGTATTCCACTTGTGAGTGGAACTTCTGTCCCCCCTCTCTACTGCCCCGAACACCGTTTCTGTTGTTGTTAGATACCCTGGAGTCAGCTCTGACTTATAGTGACCCTGTGGTCACAGGATGGCCAGTCCTGTACCATCTCCACAATTTCTGCTGTTGCAGTTGCTGTGTCAGTCCATCTCCTTGAGGGTGGTCCTCTCCTTTGCTGACCCTCCACTTTTCCAAGCATGATGGCTTTTCCTAAGGACTGGACCTTCCTGACAGTATGCTCAAAGTGAGATGAAGTCTCACCATTCTTGAGTTCAAAAAGCACTCAGGCAGCACTTCCACCAAGATAAATTTGTTTTAGACAATCCCTGATCAAAACAAAATATATTGAGTATGTTCTGCCAAAAACACAGTTCTAAGACATTTATTTTTCTGTCTTCCTTATTCATTGCCAAATTTTCATAGGCATGCAAAGTAATTGAAAAGACCATGGCTTGGGTCAGATGTCCCTTAGTCTTTAAGGTGATCTCTCTCCCTGTTAGCACTTTGAAGAGGTCCTTGGCAGCAAATTCACTTAATGCTGTGTTTGATTTCTTGACTGCTGCTTCTTTTATAAGTATTGATTGTCAACCTAGTTAAAACTTGAATCTTTTCCTCCGTTTGTTATGATGTTGTTTACTGGTCTAGTTGTGAGGCTTTTAATTTTATGTTGAGGTGTAATCTGTACTGAAGGCTATAATCTTTGGTCTTCTTTAGTAAGTGCTTCAAATCTTCTTTTTCAGCAAACAAGATTGTTACCTGCATAATGCCTGTTGTTTGAATCTTCCTCCAGTCCTGATGCCACATTCTTCTTTTTGCTCCCCTATCCCCACCCCTTTTTTTTGGTCTGGTTATTTGAGATGATTTAGAAATAATGGTTCGTTTCTCACTCTGCTTTGGCATTATTTTTAGTCCTAAGATTTTCACCCCTGCTGGTGTTTGCACTCTGTTTAGAGCAACCTTTCGCTCTAAAAAATTATATTAGAAATATATGTATGTGTATGTTTATATCCATATGAAACATTTACCCTTATTCAGTACATCTATACAGTAGAAAATTTTCTTGTCTCTTTTCCACTAACATTTTTTGTTTGTTTGTTAACAATGCACTAACTTAATGAGACTGGTCTGTTAGGTAGTTGTGCTGTTAACCCAAAGGCTGTGCCTCTCTGACTGTTTGAATCCACAAGCCAGTTCCTCAGGAGAAAGAGACCTCCTATGTTATTTACAGCCTCAGATATCTCGCGGAGGGTCTGCCATGAGTAGGTTCATGGGTCATGACTTGCAGTTGAAAGCACTGCTTTGGAGATCAATCTCTGGAGTGATAACTCTGATGGATGCCCTATATATATGGAGAATAAATAACTCAGATTACTGTCCTGCCGCTCTCTTCCTCTTTTCAAGAAATCTGACAACTCCAAGCCTGGAGTTTTTGGATGTTGTGGTTGTTGTTGTTAAGTGCTGTTGAGTTGGAGATGGCTAATAGCAACCCTATGAATGAAAGACCTGAACACTTAAAAAACTTTAATTGTTGATCCAAGTTCATAGAATTTCTGGAGGCAAGTTATTTTGGAAGTGGATGCCACTCCTGCTTCCCAGCTTGTTTTAATTGGGGAGCTCCACCAAACACTGTCCACCATGGGTAACCATTATCACAGTTGACACATCAGTGTCAAAACTTTGGATACCATCCTATAAAAATGGTTTTCTCTTGAGGTTTTGTATTGTGGATTTGCTTTGCTATATCTAAATGACTTATACTTCCCTCTGCTTTCTATTTCACAGAAAGTTGCGATAGTATGTTAATGTAATATTTTTAAATTTTTAAGTCACTGTCAGAAGTCATTGCCATGGAGTTGGAACTGACTCATAGCTTACCCTCCAGCAGGTTTTCAGAGGCTGTAAATTACAAGAGAGGAGGTGATCCATCCTTATTCTGAGGAGCCCCTCGTGGATTCCAGCCACAGGAGAGGCACTGGCTGTGGTTTAGCTGTGCAACTCCTTATGCATTACACCATCAGGGCTCCATTGGTTAAAAAGACTTCCATTGAGTTCTTTTTTTATGTAGTTCCACTGTCAATAGGATCACAGGATAGAGAAGAGACCAAAAATATGTACTTAAATGGCTATTTTTCCACTGATAATCTCTCAGTTATCCTTTTAAGTGTTTAAAAATACAGATTGGAAGTTTAGTTTTGAGGTAACATTTCTTTACCCAGAAACTTGATAAATATTGGAAATGACCCATAGCTGCCTCTCCAGTGAATTTTCAGAGGCAATAAATCTTACCAGAGGAGATTGCCCAGATTTCTTCCATAGTGGATTCAAACTGTGTGTGTTTACATTGGCAGCAGGAGCTTTGCTGGATTATTGGTAAGGAATTGTGCTGCCAGTCCAATAGTATGCAGTTCAGATCCACTGCAATAATGTTTGAAGACTAAGTAAGGTAGACCTGATTCAGACCATGGTCTTTTCTTGAGAGCTGGACAATGAAGAAGGATGACAAAAGAATTGATTGATGTCTTTGAGCTGTGGTGTTAGAGAAAGAATACTGAATAGCTCACGTACTGCCAAAAGAACAAACAGCTGTATCTTGGAAAAAATGCAGTCAGAATGTTCCTTGGAGGTAAAGTTGAGGAAGCTGTTTCACATATTTTAGACAGGTTACTGTTGTTGTTATGTGCCGTCGAGTTGCTTGCGACTCATAGCGACCCTATGTACAACAGCTCTAAACTCTGCTTTGTCCTGTGCCAATCTCATTTTCTCTGGCACACTCATCCTGATTATCTCAGTCACCCAATCAGTCCATCTCCCAGAGGGCCTTCTCCTCCTGCACCTGCCCTCCACCCTCCCAAGCATGATGTCCTTCTCCAAGGACCAGTCTCTCCTTACAACATGACTAGAGTATGTCAGAGACGAAGCCTCAGAATCCTTGCCTCCAAGGAGCAGCCCGGTTTAATCTTCTCCAGGATGAATCTGTTTGTTTTCTTAGCAGTCCATGGCACTCTCAGTCAGCACTCTTCTCCAACACCACAGCTCAAAAGCAT